CCCCTTTTTTTTTTTCTCTTTAGCAGGAGTGTGCCAACTGGCACTTTTGATAATCCATTAATCCTAAATAATCATCTGGGTACTTCATGGTTGGTAGGGGGAAAAAAAATAGAAAAAAAAAAGGTTATTAAAAGTTAAAATGTAACCTTGCTAGAAGGCTGGAGAGCGCTTCTCTGCTGTGGGTTTGCAAGAGTTATGGTGAGTTTAAGTTTGCAGATGGCACTCCTGGTTTTTCGGCAGTTATGAGCACAAGTAGCATGAGGACTCAATAGAGGGTTTTTGCCAGGGAGGACCCCCTGAGAATTAGCCGCCTTCATTTCTCTGGTGCCAATCTCCCCCTGACAGGAGCACTATTTCACAAAACCTACATTCAATAAATTACACTCGCCTGGCAAGAACTTGGAAATATTTAACACTCGGAGGATACCAGCGTCTCAATTTAATTTCTATTCATTTCCAGAGGATGCCAGGCACTACTTGGAACAGTCCTGGTTTGTGTGCATGCGCATGTGTTTCCCCCCTCCCCAGCTAAAAAGAAAATATCAAATATAATGGTGTCTGCAGCCAGGAATATCTCACCCTGCCTTCAAAATGACTTTGAGTCTCCTGAGGACAGTTTACGGTCTCGTGCCCTGGTCCTCCCAAGTTGCCCTGCTAATGACAGCTTTGTAATCCAGTTGGGAAATAATCTCACATGGCTGCACTCGGAGCTTGTGAGCTGTAAAACTTCTGGATTGAACTCCTTCACCTGGTCACTTCAGTGAGCTACAAGCAAATGCAATGAGGGATGTGGTCATAATTGTCAACAGATTTGTAAATTTGTGTCATTAGTTATGCGCATAATGGATTTTATTCTAATGAGCTTGTTCATAAGAATGCCAGGAGGACTTGGCCCCTTTGGAGGAAATAAACTACAAACTTAGCCTATGCATTTTAAAACACATCAGTGCCACATAAAGGGGAAAAAGAAATGTTTCCTCTCCTTTCAGTGCGTTGCAGTTTTCACTTAGCTGAACCTTATGCAGTAAGCTATGGCTCCTTTTACTTCTGTAAACTCATTTCCTACTTTCCTGGGATTTCTCAGGGATACATAGACATTTTCAGATGCTGGCATGTTCTTTCCATTCATTGAATAAAAGGAAACTATCACAACTCCTTGGGCTCAATATACTAGTGAGAAATACAAAAGGCAGCCCTTGTCCATACTCTCCCAAATGAAATTTATTCCAGGGCACAACATTGTCAAAGCTGCCATAGCCTGAAAATCAGAGCACTTCCCCCTCCAAACCCAGCTAGAAATGCTGTGGTGCTCAGGGGGTCAGTCAACAGCACCCGATACACATGGAAGAACAATAAAACTAAGTATTATTAAATCAGGGTTTTATTGTATCTATTACTATTAAATGTATTCCTATTAAATCTAGTTATAGCATAAGACTTGTTCTCCGGAGACAAAAAATGAGGCTTCTAGGCTTTCTCTTTGGGGAAATCTACTCCTGCTTTTCTTTCAAAC